CCCCACTTGCCGCAACTGGAGAAAGCCCTCACAGCAGCAAAGACCCAACACAGTAAAAAATCAGTAAATAAAATTGGAGAAAGAAAACATTAGTGCAGTGAATTATGCAGGTCTTCTATATATGTCATTTTATACAGTATTTTGGAAATCTTATTTGTTAAAATAAACACCAGTCTCATCTAAAAACTTACTAAGTATAGGAAAGCTTCAGGCTCTTGGGGATGGCTTCAAGTTTTGCAAAATTCTAATGCTGCTCGAAAGAATAATTTTTATCCTTGATCGTGAATACAGCCAGATGTTTTCTCTTGTAATGACAAGCTTCAGTCATCCACTTTTGAGAAAATGTCTGCCCAGTACCCAGGACTGAACATGATCTCTCAACATATGTCTGTCAGATGTTCTTTCAAGTCAGGATGGTTATTCCAATGAAGAGCAGCTAGTTCAGCTTCAAACCATCCACGAGCATTTTTCCTCAGGGCTACCACCATGCCTCAGTGTGCCACGGAAGTCATGTCATCATGCAGGATTGTATAAAGGCATGTAAGCTCAAAATTTAACAGAACTAAATTTTCATCCTGCTTTTTTGTTGTTCTGCTGAGGGAGTCTGGTGGCAAAGAATGTGACTGTTTGGACAGTTTGCTGTCATGTCCTGAGTTCATCAGTTTTACCCAGTTACATCCTCTGTCCCATCAATGCATTGTGTGCAGAGGTCAGCACTGGGGAAAACCCAAGTGACATCTTATTACGAGCAGGAAAAGAGAGTGGGGGAGCCCTCCTGGGTCAGTAGACTGTACTTTGAGAAACAATGCTCTAGTGTAATTCCCGCCTGGTAAAAAGAGGATGTTCAGGCCAGTAAGGATTAGGATCTCACTCAGGCTCATTCCAGCAATGAGTGAAAGAGCCAAAGCCAGACCTCTGCTCACGTCCTCACATGTAATCCGACTTGTCTTGTTTCCCCCGAAAAGCTCCCCACCACCAACAACCAAAAAAAAGAAGATTCTTGGTCTATCAAGTTCACTAAAGGTACAGAACTTACCACGTGAGGAATGTAGAAGTTCTTTCAGCATTTTCAGACATCTTCATTCAGTTATAATATTCTTCAATGACCTCAGTTTTGGAAGCAGATGGACTAGAATTTGAAAAAAATCTGGAAAACAATATTCTATCTGAAATTATAAAAGACCTTAGTAATTAATGACTTTTTCCTTTCATTTTTGTGCATCATTAAAAAAAAAAAAAAACCTCTTTTAAGTCAGTGCCTAAAAGTGTTATTAAATACAGACTGTGTAATTAATGATTTTTAAAAGTTTCACTTTGGTGTAAACCTAAGCAGTTTGTTCACCGGAAGCTCTGTTAAAGAAGGCCGCCATGGAGTTTGGGATTGACACATACGTACTACTATGTACAAAATAGATAACCAACAAGGACCATATAGCACAGGGGACTCCGCTCAGTACTCTGTAATGGCCTGTATGAGAGAAGACTCTAAAAGTGACTGGATATATGTGTAACTGACTCATTTTGCTATATGGAAACTAACGCAGCATTGCATATAAACTATATTTCAATAAAAATTTTTAAAAAGAAATAGTATAAAAGAAGGCCACCACCCTAGAAGAAGCCTGGCATTCAAGCACATTGTGAAGGAACTCTTTCTGTGTAAATTTCCTTAAAAATCTTAAATGTCCTGTAAATCTCCAGCAACCATGCTATAGACTCCTGTTAGAAAAGGAAGCTCTTTGTCTCTCCTGATGGTTACATTCTCTGATTGGAAAAAGTTAAAAAGACTAACTTTCTCAACACAGAAATGGATGGTGTGGCACTCAAGGTCACTGGAGGAGACTGACATATTAACAGAGTTATCAGCAGACCGCTTTATACATTGAGTATGTTGAAATGGAAGGAGAGCAACTTTGGGGCCAGACAGACCTGGGTTCAAATCCGTCTCTCCCCTGCCAGCTTGTGACTTGCCAGAAAGATTCAGTGTCTGCATCTGTGATCCAGAGATACTATGATCAAGAGCTGGTGGAAGATGAAGTGAGATCGTACCTTGAGTACTGAATCTGACCCATGATGGAGGGACATTTTAGCCCTTTACTAGGGGGCTTATGGTTTAGGGTAAGGAAAGACACCTGTTAATAAGTAGAAACAGGGAACATATTATATACTCTAGCTATGGTAAGTGTTCTCAGGAAGAAAAGAAAGGAGATAGGGCAGTAACTTGAAAGGGAGAGATAGCCCGGGGATTATTTACAGTTGTTGATTTTGTTTGTATAGTTTTGTGTCCAGCAAAAGCACAGGAGAAAGCAACACAGTGTAGCTAAGAGCCATCAGGTCACTCATCTAGTGAATAACACATTGTATGATGGCCATGTACCAGACAGGAACTGGGGGCCAAGGTCCTGACAGTGAGCTTACCTTATAGTAGGAGGAGACAATCTCATTATAAAAATAAGTGCTGTGGAGGACAATTAAAGCAGAGAAAGAAAAGAGCTGTGTGTGTGGCTGAGCACTGCCTTTAGGTGGGATGACCAGTAAGCCTCCTGACTTCGTGGGTCTCATCAATGGTGTAGAAGCCCTGAGGCCACAGAGGGGCCTGGAGACATGTGTGGGTGCAGCACAGCATTGGGAACACCCCGTTTCCTGATTCAGTTCAGTTCAGTCCAGTCGCTCAGCCGTGTCCAACTCTTTGTGACCCCATGAACCACAGCACGCCAGACCTCCCTGTCCATCACCAACTCCCAGAGTTTACCCAAACTCATGTCCATTGAGTCAGTGATGCCATCTAACCATATCATCCTCTGTCATCCCCTTCTCCTCCTGCCTTCAATCTTTTCCAACATCAGGATCTTTTCAAATGAGTCAGCTCTTCGCATCAGGTGGCCATTTCCTAATACTAAGGCATATATCTTTTCATCTGCCATGGTGGAGGACTTAAGATGAATGGTGCATATTTAGAGCAATGGAGATGTTTACTCCTGAGCCCCCAACCCCAGAGAAGGTAGACTTATTTGTGTTGTATCATTAAAGAGGGGAGTGTAGAAATAGGAAGAAGGAACAGTGATCTCTCTGTTCCCCACAAGATCTCAGGCACTTTAAGCTGCTATAACAAAGTACTATGGTCAGAGTGGCCTCTAAACAACAGAAATTCATTTCTCAAGTTCTGGAGGCTAGAAGTCCAAGATCAGGTTCTAAATGGCGAGAGCCCCCTTCTGGGTGGCAGACTGCCGTCATCTCAGTATATCCTCACGTGGCAGAAAAAGAGGAAGAGAAATCTCTGGAGTCCCTTTACAAGGGCATTAATCCCATTCACGAGGGCTCCCCCCTCATGACCTGCTCATCTCCTAAAGGTGCAGCCTGGATTAGGCGGTGCTTACACTGAAGGTTAGAATTCCAACATGTGAATTTGGTGGGGGGTGGCAGGGGGAGGAGTCACCAGTATTCATTTCATTGCAAGGTCAATGACAAAATCACTGAAAAGGCAGAGAGATGGGGATAGGGTGGGGTGGGGCAGAGGGGTGAGGCTTCGGAAAGGCAACAGGAACAACCTGGCTGGTCCCAGTGAAGAACTAAAGGAAGTCTGTTAGGATAAGAAACAGACTGTGGAATTGATCTGCAGTCCAAGACTGGAAACTTTGCATTTATGATGTTGTCCAGTGTTCACAATGTTTGGGTTTCTCTGGCTCCGGGCAGTAGGTAGTGGGAGTGGAAAGTACAGGGTGGGACCAGTCAGGGTAAGCACTGTGGAAAGACACCTGTGGCATTCTGGGAGTATCCATGGATGATCAGGCATGAAACCTGATCTGGACCGGGAGTATCTACCTAAGCATACAAACCTACAAACTGCAGAGTCTCAGGGAAAAGAGAGCAGGTGGACTTTGTCATCATTTCATCTCCTCAGGGAAAATGAGGAGTTAACTGTTACATGTTCCTAACCTGGAGATGAGAGTAAATGTTTCCTTAAGCCAGCTCTCTAGTTGCATCCAGAGAACAATAAAGATATTGATAGAGGAGAAGCTGGGCAGACTTCAAAAGAAAAGGAATCCAGATTGGTTCTACAGCTTTCAAACTCTGATGCCTTCATTGTTATTCTTTATTTTTTTAGTGATTCAGGTCAGCATTAGCTAAACCTCAATCTGTACAGTATATGTGAGTTAGCCCACACAGAGCTAGTCTGGTCAACCTCATAGAAGTAGTTCCCCTCAAACTCAGGATCTCAGTGCCAGCAGTGTCTTGGCACTTCATTTTCTTTATTTTCTTTCCGGAGTCAGTATCACAGGTGGTCTCTCTGTGTTAAGGTAAAAGGTACCTTGATTGAAGAAATGAGAAACCATCAAGACTTACTAATAAGCAGGAGTTTCTGGGAATAAGTATCTACATAATGTAGAAATACATGGTGCTGTACATTTGGACTTAAAATCATGAACTATTTGACATAAAAGTTGAGATATAGAAAAACTTGCATTAAAAAAAAAAGTCCTAAATCTTTGTGAGTTGAAGATAAATTGGAAGTGAAGATAGAACATCTATAAAACTCTGCCATAAAGCAGTGGAACCATTATTTCATTTTTTTAAAAATGCAGTTTGTACATTCTTTAAAAAGGTCTGTTCTATGTACATACAGCAAATCTACTTTTGTAGTAATGGTATAAAAATAAGAATATCCTTGTGATTCCAGCCCTTTGCTTTTAACTATACTGCAGTTGAAACATTGTGATCTTCACCACTTGAGTTTCATAATCAGGGTATTTTGACCAAAATCAAGCACAGTGTGCACACACCCTAGTTTGTTCCAACTGTCTTCGTGTTCTGATGTTGAAACCTTGTTCTTTTCTGTTTATCCCACTAAGGAAAAGGTTTTCTTCACCAACTGTCATCCCAGATAGTAACTGTTCCAACTGATATTGAAATAGAAGATGTAAATAGAAGGGGCCCGTTTTTAACTTGTTGGTGGAAGATTTCTTGCCCTGAGATACTGACTCACTAAAGCTGTCTTGCAGGAGATGTCTCCCTGCTCCCCAGTCCTGTGGAGAAACTGCTGACTCAGAAGATGTTGGAGTCTCCTGGAAAGACAACCTGTACAGGTATATTTGTTTATGGGAGTTTGGACTTCAGATGAAATGATGTGCTGCTTTTGCTTTGATGAGCTTCAGTGAGCAATGCCTTCTCAGGTTCAACTGCATATTCACAATTCTAGTAATATTAACAATGAAAAGAATAGTGGGGAAATGGGCTTATCAAGTATCTCAAAAGTTGCCTTTGCCCTGCTCTGTGTCCCCCAGTGATCGTTAGCTCTTAGTTAAATTCTGATGCTGCTCAGTCATTTTTAGATTTGGATAAAGATACCAAATCGACTGCTTTATAATAGTGAATAAAATCTTGCACACACTACAGGGTTGGTTTTTTTGTTTTTTTTTTTTTGCCAAAAAAGAGAAATAACTTCATCTTTCTCAAAGCATTAAAAATAAGACTATCTCATAGAGTTTTCAACTGTTTTTCATCAAAGGCACTTGAAATTCAAAATAGTTCCCCCTAGAAATAAGGACTGATAAAGGGGGCTTGATTAAAATGAAGGGGAAAGTCACTGAAATTGAGCATTATTAAACTGTATTTTAAATGATAGAGCTTTTTAAATTTTCTTTTCATTTGGGACATTAATTATATGACTTGAAAAGAATAATTACCTACTTGAATTTAACAAAAACCACATTGTGTAACGTTTTTTCTCACGTTAATATTTTAGGTAATTGGCTTTTAAACTTGTTCATAAAGAATGCTTGTTTTCTCCCAGTTCGTGATGTATTTACATATCTAATTTGTTCGATTTTATGGGCTGTAGTTCCTCTTTGGGTGCCAAATTCTTCTTTCTATACACAAGCTATCTTAAACATATTTCTTAATGATTTCTCCAGCAAAATACTGACATTCACAACCGCTTTCAAACTTCTGGTTGCCCTGCCCACACCCTCGAGCACTCACATGTTTTCTCTCCCAAAATGAAAAACTGCATGTCCATTGCTCTCACCCTTCTCCCAAGATGTGACCAGAGTCCCCGTCCCTCACAGGACCCTTGAGACCTGGGCTTACCCCACGCCCTGAGGGTCTACCAGAGGAGGTGCTTTCTTCCCTGCTAAGCTGGAGAATGAGAGCAATTAGTATCAATTCTCAGTATAAACAAAAGCAGAGGAGAGTGGCCCCAGAAAACTGCTTTTTGCAATGCACATCTGTTCACTGCTATTCACTAAATACTGTTAATCTGATTAGCACTTTGTCAACTGCATGAAAAAATGGGGTTGGGGGGACAGGCAGGGAAGAGAGCCTGGTAGGCTGGATCAGATGAAGCTGCCAGAGGGGGTGGCCCCAGAGAGGCAAGAAAGAAATGCTTTACAGGTTTACTGGGAGAATCTTTCACGAGGAAGATTTCTTCCCATTTTACTTCATTTCCCTCTCAACAAAGAAATACCTTTTAAGGATTCAGTACTATTTCCACTGGGCTTCCCTGGTGGCTCAGTGGTAAAGAATCTATCTGCCTGCCATGCAGGAGACACTGGTTCCATCCCTGAGTCAGGAAGATCCCCTGGAGAAGGAATGGCAACCCACTCCAGTATTCTTGCCTGGGAAATCCAATGAACAGAGGAGCCTGGCAGGCTATAGTCCATGGGGTCATAAAGAGTCAGACATGACTTAGTGACTGAACAACAACAACGCTGTTTGCATATGATTCATGATCAAGATTTGTGTGTTTTTTTTTTCTTTTTCCTCCCACTAAATATAAGTGTCAGGAGCCTCATACTTCTTGGCAAGAGAAAGTAGAGGACAGAGGACTTGCCTGATGGTCCAGTGGTTAAGAACCAGCCTGCCAGTGCAGGGTACACAAGTTCAATCCCTGGTGCAGGAAGATCCCACATGCCCTGGAGCAGCTAAGTCGGGGCACCAAAACTAGAGACAGCCCTCTTGCAGCATTGAAGACCCAGTGCAGCCAGGAAAGAGAGAGACGGAGCAAGAGTGAAAAACTAATGTCTACTGCAAAACTGCCATGTGGTAGACCCCACCCTGGCACGTTTATGGATACTTCTTTCATTTAATCCTGACAGCAACCAGATACAATTATGCGCACTTCATAAATAAGAACACTCAGGCTGAGAGTGAGTGACTTTCCTAAACTCTGAGACAGAGACAGGTGTTGAACCCACATCTGTCTGAACCCCTAAACCCGTGGTCTTCCCACTGGAGACTATGACGGTGGCCCTCACCATGGATACAGCTTCCAGGCAGCAGGTAGAACTGGAAAGAGCCTTTGGTGTCACCTGGGCCAAGCCTTGAATTCCAGTCTGTTACCTGCTGGCTTTGAAATCTGTATCTGTAAAATGCACATGAGCAGTAATTCCTAACTCAGTGGATTGTGGAGATTAAAGGAGATAATGCATCCAAAGTATTTTGCACAGTACCTGACACATGAAATATGCCTTATCATTGGATTAATGTTGAAGAAACAGCATTGGATAGTGCTAGGAAAGAAAAGAATCTTTCATGCTCTAAAAAGAATTCTCTTTCTTGCTAAGCTAGCCAATGATGAGCAAGACAGCTCTCAAAGCCCGTGCTGAATGGAAGGTCCCAGGACATCCCTGGTGTGGCTGCAAGAGGGGAGGGATGGGAGCTGACTGGGACCTCAGTTCAGCAAGGGCAAGTGTGCCGAGCGGAATGGACTCAGGACACAAGATTGCCAGGGGGACTGTCTTGCTTTCTCTGTATGGTGTCGGATTTCCTCAAATAGGGGTCCTAGTAGAGTGACTCTATGAGGTCTGCGTGCTGTGGATGTGTGGACTAGAGTGGTCTCGTCATCCTGAGTCCTCAGAAGCAAAGAACACTGTGCCTATGTTGCCAGCGTGCTTTACAGCACTGTCTCTCCCGCCAGCACTCAACACAGCCCTGCAAACAGTGCCGCAGAGCCTGGAGGCGCCTGGGGGAGCCAGTAGGCAATGGCTCCATGTGTTTATAGGTTTTTCAACAAAATTAAATTGATCTCCCCCCATGTTCAGAGGCCTTTCTTTCATCTCTGACTTCTCCAGGGTTTCACCATACTGGTTTTAACCAGAGACCATCCTGGGAAACAGTTTGAATCCCAACTGGAACTTATTATTGGAAAGCCAAGTGAGAGGGAGAATCGGGATGCCAAGCAATAAAACTGAAAATGGAGTTTCTCGGTTTAATACAATTAAAACCTAAACAAGCCCTAAAAGTTTGGGCTCTTTTGTGGCCAAGAGTGCTTAGCAACACTCTTGTTCTGGGCCTAGAGCCAGGGAGCTCTGTGTCAAGAGCAGGGACCCTCTTTCTCTACCTGTTCACTGCTTTGGACTTAGCCACGGACCTCGGTGTCTCCCTAGATGGAGTGATGGTGGAACCATGTCCAAGCCAGCCAAGGGTCGAGTGGGAGCAACTTTGTTCAGAAGCAGCACCCTGAGCCTTGGTTCTGCGGGTGGAAATCAGGAAGTGAGTTATGTGCAGCTGTTGGAGAACCGCCTGCTTCATGCGCTTGTCTCTTTACACTGTCTGTATGGGGGCGTGTTGTGAAGCATCCTGATGAGGCTCGCTTGGCTGTGGGCTCATGGACTACTGACCCGAATCTTCCCTCTGCTGCCTTTCATGTGCAGCCACACCCATCAGTTAGATGTGATGGAGGAGATGCACACAGGACCCACTTGGCCCTTTCTCCAGACAAATAGCTAGCTACCTTATTGGATTCATCAGAATCCTCTGGTTAGTAATTGGTAAGCTCAACTTTGAATATCTGCTTTTACCTTCAAGTGACTCTTAGTTTTTCATCAGTTCTCTAATTAGTGGGCTGTTGGAAAGAATATTTTAATGGTCATTGAAGTTTGGGAATACAACAAGCCATTTCTACTTTCACATTTTCCCCCCTCCTTAAAATTTAGAGATAATATTATATTTTAATATAATATATAAATTATGTAATATAAAATATAATATATTTTGGAGTTAAGGGCAATTTTGTAAAGACTTTCCCCCTTTTCAATTAATTAATTTTATTAATTAATTTTATTGATTGATTGATTATTTTTGGCTGTGCTGGGTATTCATTGCTGCACAGGCTTTTTCCTAGTCGTGGCAAGCAAGGGCTACTCTCTAGTTGTGGTGTGCGAGCTTCTCATTTTTGTGGCTTCTCTTGTTGCGGAGCATGAACCTTAGGGCATGGACTTCTGTAGTTTTGGCTCAGACTCTAGAACGACCGGTTCAGTAGTTGTGGCCCACAGGCTTAGTTTGGATGTGGAATCTTCCTGGATCAGGAATCAAACCCATGTTTCCTGCATTGGCAGGCAGATTCTTTACCACTGAGCCACCAAGGAAGCCTAAAAATTTCCCCCCTTTTGAGGGGAGGATGAAGAAGTAGAAGCTCATTGTCCACATTAGAATCAGACAGATGCGGACTTCAGCTGTTACTTAACTTCATCAAGCCTCTTTTTGCTTAATCTGTTAAGGGGGACAGTAATACCCTCTTTGTAGAGTTTGCATAAGGATTCACTTAAGAGACCTAGCACAGATTCTAGACCATAATAAGGACTCACTACCACCTCATTTTCCTTTAAGCCACAGTTAGATCAAATTCTCACCAATTGTAAATGTCACTCTTCAAAATAATTATTTTTAATACACTTAACATATTAAATACAGCCCACATTTAAAATTGTAATACTAAGTATTTGCATTGTAGAATTGTGCAAAATTAATTTTACTGAGTGAGCCTTTCATGTTTCCAGTTAATAAAAGTCCATGTTTAGTGCCTGGGAGTCCTATGAGCCTCTTTAACTGTGTTATGGGTAATTTCGCAGGATTTCCAGAAATGATGAATGTCAGTGGAAATTTCGACTTACCATTTAGTGCACAGTTCTCTGAAATCTGTGATTTAGTAGGTGACAGGTGAGGGGTTTTAGATCACACCATCTGGGAGAGAGGCCTTGTAAATGTGTCGTGGGATAAAGCACTGTTGCAGCCGCGTAGCTGAGAAAGACTTGCTACAGTCGTACCGTTTCAGTGTTTTAAAAAACTTCATGGCATTTGCAGCCTC